GTTATCACACTTGATGGTAGTCATGGTTTCAAACATTCAACCAAATTTTTTTTCTGAGATGACTTGGTAATATATGTCATTGAACTAAATGGAAATCATATTATGGTGTTCATTTTTTGATTCAGCCATGCTGGATCTATGTGATCACTCCGGATTTGGAGATGGTGCAAAGTTCTAAGTTGAAGACATGTCATGAAAATTATTTTGTGTTTCTATGACTTTCAGAAACTTTATACACCATTTTAATCATCAACTGCCAACTTTTAATATGTTATTTGTCCTTAAATTAAGAAAAGGTTGGGCGAACAACTTCTTTATTTTAGATATACACTTGCATATAGTTCCTTTGTGAATCAAAATTTATATTAATTCACATCTATTAATTAATGTGGAAAATGTGTTTTATCAAGTTCAAGCAGCTGATAAGAATAATGAAAGTGTTTTATCAGTATTTTATGTTCCTGTAAGCCATTGAATAAAATTAGTTCAAGATGTGTATTGATATGAGTTGATTCCCACACTTTTTTGAAATGCTATTATTCCCATTCTTGCATTAGGCAAATAAGAATATTGATACATTACAAGTATGATTTACAGCTGCCACGATTTTCAAACAATTACACTCAAAGGTGTAAGTATTAATTGGATTAAACTCCAATCAAATGCAGTCTTAATTGACCACAGTTATATTAATATATCATGACAGTTGATAATCATACTGTTATTGAGGTCAATAATTTGTGTATTCAGTTTATTAAACATCTAATTGAATACACAAAATCTTCACCTCAATAACTGTTAAAAACAGTGTCATAATCATCTGACATAAGTTAATAATTAAGGTATATTTAAATTACAATTATCTGTAATTTGGTCGAAGCAATAAACAAAATTGCATAATTCTTACCTGAACATTTTCTGCAATAAATTTATTTGTATATTCCCCATTATATTGCTATTTAACAGTAATTGGAAAAAAAAAGATGTAAAAAAATCTTGAGTCTCTTCAATTGAAATATCAAAATAATTTGCAACAATATTGCAAAATTCTCCATCTTTTGGCAATAGAAATGAAATTTTACAGTGAGATTATGGAAATGAAGATAACAAAATAATTATTGAAAGTATGGTCAGAAATAAGCATTTTGTATAAGTTTCATAACATTTGGTTGAGGCAAACTTAAGCGGATGGAAACCAACTTTGGGATGTACGGACGGACAAGAGTAAAACTTATTGCCCTCTCTGCTACGGCGGGGGCATAAAACTTTGAGACTAGCTACAAAATTGGCTGAATCACGACATCCATGATGCATTGATTTTTAATGATTTGGTCAATCTAAACCAAACTTCATCTTGGTGAAATAACACATGAAACATCCTTAATAAAATTTCTCACTTTGTTTTTTCTGTAAAAACATGGCTTTTTAGAAGCAGCCCTTTTTCTGACTTTTTTTTCTGTTTTGAAGACACAAAGCCAAATCTTCAAACTTTGAATGAATGATGATTTGGAGACTTTTCTCATTGGATGTGTGTAATTTTTTACCACAGTGCAGTGGAAAATCTAGTGTCAAAATATTACCTCCCCTGTTATACTGAAAACTCAATGAGCAAGGACGCTATTAATTTAAATTAATTAGAAAAAGTTCTGGTAAATAGTAACAATAAAAATTAATTGAAATAAAAACAAAATTTCCATATAATGTTATCATTTCGCTCTAAAAAATAGCAAACAATGAGTACAACAGACTAAAGGAGCTTTGTGTTAATTTAAAATTGGTTTAAAATGTTGCTTTGCAATTAAATTCCATGATTTTTCTACTGGCTGTATTCCTCTCTGGAACATGCCAAATATCTGTATATGTATGTAGCTATTACATAGAAGTTCAGGGAGAAAATACCAATAGGAATCAATTGATATGCAGCAAAAAATAACACTTTTGAAATTTAAGTTACAATGTAATGTACTAAGCAAATTCAAACTGACCTTATCCTGATGAATGTGAATAGATCGAGAAGATCACTTATACATGTACAGAAATCGAGATGACCTTTTCTTAAAATTGAACAAAAATAATAAAAATCTTTATACGGATAACCTACTTTGTAAAAATATTTACCTTTTATTTTTGAACCTGCACAGACACAACATTTTTAAATCATTATATTCACAAAAAGACAATATTTCTATATTGAAAGTTCACATGACAAGAGGAGACTGGTTTACTCGAAAACTTAGATGGAAAAATAGGTTTATTTTTGGAATTTGTAACATGCTAATGACTATGTAGAATACTCCAACAAGAGTTCACACGCTGAAATGTCTCGCCTTCTTTACTAATCATTTATTTTATGTTAATAGTCCTAAATATAAAGCTTTACTACAAGTAACACACAAACTTAACATGATCCACGAAAATGAGGTCAAGGTCAGATAAACCAAACCAGAAATACATGTACACCTTACAATCATTCAATAAACCAAACATAGTTGACCTACTGCTTATAGTTTCTAAGAAACAGTCTTAACCAAGAAAACTTAACATTGACCAATGAACCATGAAAATGAGGTAAAGGTCAGATGATACCTGCAAGACAGACATATACACCTTACAATCCTTCCATACAACAAATATAGTTGATCTATTGCTTATAGTTGAAGAAAAACAAAACTTAACACTGAGAAATGAACCGTGAAAATGAGGTCAAGGTCAAATAAAACCTGCGAGACTGACATGTACATCATAAAATATTTCCATACACCAAATATAGTTGACCTATTGCATATAGTATTGGAAAAAAAAGACCAAAACTCAAAAACTTGACTACTGAACCATGAAAATGAGATCAAGGTCAGATGACACCTACCAGTTGGACATGCACACCTTACAATCATTCCATATATCAAATATAGTAGACCTACTGCTTATAGTATCTGATATATGGACTTGACCTTGTTCACTGATCCATGAAATGAGGTCGAGGTCAAATGAAAATTGTCTGACGGGCATGAGGGCCTTACAAGGTTCGCACATACTAAATATAGTTATCCTATTACTCATAAAAAGAAAGAAATTAACATTAAAAAATGTTGACTTTTTTTACGAGTAGTCACTGAATTATGAAAATGAGGTCAAGGACAATGGACATATGAGTCATATCTCATATGATATGACAGACGGAAACTTCGTAACATAAGGCATCTATATACAAAGTATGAATCATCCAGGTTTTCTAGCTTCTAAAATATAAAGCTTTTAAGAAGTTAGCTAACGCCGCTGCCGCCGGATCACTATCCCTATGTCGAACTTTCTGTGACAAAAGACGCAGGCTCGACAAAAATTGGTGACCTAAAGGATGTTTAGATTTTGTATGTACCGGTACATGATTTTTTCCAATATTTTTTATCAATATGCAGCAAAGATTAATATTCGCTAAATTTCAGTTTCAAAAGCTACTAATGCAATCATCTTTATAAATAATGAACATAAAACATCGTGTATTTATTTGCCTGTATATTTCTAATAACACTGTTTAACAACCTTTTTCTTTAAAATCTAGGATTGTTTTATTCAGAAAAAGCTTACAATCAGTATCGTCAACAGCATGTTTTACTATTGATTTTCATAAGAAGAGTGACTCCTGTTGTTCTCCTTAGTATTAATTTTCATAAGAAGAGTGACTCCTGTTGTTCTCCTTAGTATTGATTTTCATAAGAAGAGTGACTCCTGTTGTTCTGTCATTGGTTTTGCCACAGAGGGAGTCTACAGAGTCCCATTCATATTTTCATTTTATTATGAAATTGGTCTGCAATTTCTTACCAAAATTGGCGGGACGGTTCTTAATAAAAAGAATCATTTCATTCCTCGGTACTGGCTACAACACTTAAACTCTTTCAGGTTGATGTACATATCTAATTCTATAATTTATTCATCCACCTTAAACGGCTAATATTGCACAGTTTATATATAAAAAAAGGAGACAAGATCATGCAATCAAAAACCATAAAGATTATAAGACACCACCATGGTCAGAATAAAAGAAAACCACAAAACACTACAGAAAATTAAAGATTAGGCCACCTCTACCTCATCAGAAACCAAGAGTGAACTAAGGTTGGAAGGTAAACAGTTCCTGTTTCAGGGATATTGTAACTGTTGTCTCATGTTCGTACATCCAAAGTTGCTTAAAGTAGAAGTTCAAAGTTCAAATGAAAGACAAAGGCTTAAATTTGTTTTTTTTTTTTTAAATTATCAAAAATCAACAAGTTCATACATATAAAAATTTAAATGATTCAATATACGGGTACATATGATATCATATCATATGAACAGCCATTGTAAAAGTTCAATGGGAGGACTACAATTCCTCATCATATTTGTTAACAAAATTCTGTTTATAAAGAAGACAACCAAACAAAATCAACCCATGCATCTATATTAAATAACTGCTTTGAAAGCGTAAAATTTATGATAGTTTTACATATTTTGGGTATATATCAGAGAATAGTCTTATAAGAAACTGATTACAGGTAAGCTGGGAACAGTATGTCAATATATATGTTCCTGAGGTAAGATATAATCAAAGTGCTTGTGAGCACTGAAGGGTAAAGACTGCATTCATTTTGTAATGGGAACTAAAATGTATTAAGCATTGGAATGCAATACTCTTTCTATGTCAAAAATGGCAGTTGGTTCAACTAAAATTGTGGACAATGGAAGAAAACTCAAATTTTAAATACAACATTACAAGGACATCATTGATATTTTCAGAACAGATACTACATTCTCAAACCATGTACAATTATATGATTTTGTTGACAATTATGGTTATACACTTACACATAAGTTTTTTACTTCAATAACTTAATATATATTTCATTGATAAATTTCTTGAACTGTTCATGGATAGTAATTAGAATGTTATGTTCAATGCACTTGTTTTTTTTAATTCAAAAACAGGAATAAAGACTGGAACATTTATAACTATGAAGCCATCAATATGAGGGCATGAATGCAATCTTTACTCACAAAACCTGACAAAATTACTCAAACTGTTAACAATATCCCTTGAATACTAAGCACCATACAGGGTGGTCATTCAGATAATTACGGAATGGATATCTCATCTGCTCCACTGTAACTAACTTCACATAATCTACAACCGTGATGGCATGCCACCTGATATTACAATATTTTCTCCAGTTATATAGGATGCATCGTCTGATGACAAAAATGAAACTATTCCACTACACTCCACTGGCAGTCCAGGCCTGTAATAAACATTATTTAAAAGTTAATAGATAAAAATACTTTCAAATTAATTTTTTTTTCCTTTTTAAAGGAAAACAACATTCCTTGACTTTTGATGTCATGGATTGGAAACTAACTTTTTTGTCACCCGCACAACGCATTGTGGGAGACATGGAAATACTGGTTGTTCTTCCAGTCTTGTTAGCACTCTCACATGTACAATTCTTGCCAGATTTTTATGATACTTATGTCATAGGTTTATATTAGCAATGTCTTGGGCAAGTTCAAAAATCAGTGCCGATCAATTATTTTTAAAAGAGTTATGCCCCTTGGAATAATTAATTTTATGGAAAATTGCATCAGTAGTGCTCTCATGTGTTTAATTCTTGCCAAATGTTTATGAAACCTATATTATAAGTTTATATCAGCAATGTCTTGGACGAGTGTGAAAATCAGTGCCGATCACTAATTTTTAAAACAGTTATGCCCCTTGGAAATATAAATTATATGCAATCACATTAACTGGCAATTATTCTACTACGATGCTCTTCTTTCGCTTTTTGAACAAACCTTATAATGTTCTAATTCCAATGATATCACAATTTTAACTGCAACATCAGTTGTATTTTGAACAACGCCAGACATCAAAACAGACATTTTCGTTGGTGATGCTCAGCTGGGAATTAAAGTAAGATTACATGTAAATGCTCATTTTATAATCATGAAATGGTATTTTTGCTTCATCAAATCAAAATGGCTGCTTAAGATCTTGTCCTTCTAGTATATTTTGGAATTTTCTTATTAGAATCAAAATAATTCTTTCAGGTCATGCTCTATACTCATTTTAACATGTGTAAGCATTATATTTGTCAACATTTTACATCTGGCTGGCTTAGCTAGGTATAAATATATTGACAAATATCAGAATATAATGCTTAACCATGTTAAATCAAACATAATAAACAGATATAAAAATATGATGTGGTATGATTGCCAATAAGAGAACTCTCCACCAGAGATGAAACAACGTAGAAGTTAACAGCTATTTAGTCATCACGCGGCCTTCAACAATGAGTAAAACCCATACTGCATAGTAAGCTATAAAAGGCCCTGAGATGACAAATGTAAAACAATTCAAACAAGAAAACTAACGGCCTGATTTATGTACAAAATAATAAACAAAACAAAAAACAAATATGACATACAGCAACCACTGACTTACAGACTCCTTACTTGAGAGCATGACCTGAAAGAATTATTTGTTAATCAATAAAATTCACTATTATCATAACTTACCTGTGTAAAGGAATTGCTGGTAAAGCAGTCTTTAACATTTCTGGATTACCTGTCAACTGTAATGAAAGAGAAAATTGTTATTATATATGATTTATTCACAATGGTTTTATCACATGGTAGCTTACTTGCCCTGAATGCAGAAGGTTGTGAATTTGTTCACTGGTCTGGTCAAATATATGATGCTACTGCTTTTCCACGGAGCAAAGTCCATTTAGGAGTAAAAGCAAGAACAAAATTTAGAAGTAAAATCAAGAACAAAATTCAGGAGTAAAAGCAAGAACAAATCAACTTGGAGAAGAAATAAATGCATCGGTTGGTGATAATTAAGTAACTCCAACAGACTGCCACCATGTTAAAATAAATTCCTACTCGGGAAAAATCAGTTCGTAATAAAGCAGGCTTAATTCTAAAGTGTTCTTGTAATGATTATGATGAAAGATTACCTACAAGACATAGCATGTTCATCTGTTGATTGGCCTGTCACAAGTGAGGAACCTCATCACTACTTGTTGTTTGTTTTATATTCATGTTTTGTCATGTTATTTAGGGAATTTAGTAATGATTGTAAATCTTTGAGTGTCCATTCAATTTACTCACAACTTTACTAGACTCAGGGCAATAAAGAATTTAACATATGATACATGACATGATACATGACATATGATACATGACATATGATACACTTATGTTGAGGACTGCATGTTGACGTCTAGATGTCTTGATACATGACATATGATACACTTATGTTGAGGACTGTATGTTGACTTCTAGATGTCTTGATACATGACATATGATACACTTATGTTGAGGACTGTATGTTGACTTCTAGATGTCTTGATACATGACATATGATACACTTATGTTGAGGACTGTATGTTGACTTCTAGATGTCTTGATACATGACATATGATACACTTATGTTGAGGTCTGTATGTTGACTTCTAGATGTCTTGATACATGACATATGATACACTTATGTTGAGGACTGTATGTTGACTTCTAGATGTCTTGATACATGACATATGATACACTTATGTTGAGGACTGTATGTTGACTTCTAGATGTCTTGATACATGACATATGATACACTTATGTTGAGGACTGTATGTTGACTTCTAGATGTCTTGATACATGACATATGATACACTTATGTTGAGGACTGTATGTTTACTTCTAGATGTCTTTTGGTTTTTAAAGTCATTGTGTGGCTGTATTATCAACATATACCATACAGGACCTATAATTCATATCAACAATTCTAATAGTCTTTTTTCTAAATTTAACGAAATACTTAATTAATCAATCCCCCGTAAGCCATTTTTTGTGTCTGAGAAAAAAAAATTTAAGTGCCTGTGTGTATCCATGTCAGACTTCATACAATTGTTGTCCAAGACAAGAAAGGGTGAGGGTCACTCAAGGAAAAAGTCAGCTATTCATTGCTATCACAAAACCCCCTGCATATACCTGTGCATACCATTTTTCTGATACATTTTTTAAAACAGTACCAGTACATTGAGAAATTGTGTGTACCCTTTCAGTTGTTATGGTATACCAATATGTCCTGAGAGGAGGCCGCAGCTTAGCTTACAAGGAAGCAAAATTCAACCAAATGTTCTAAATGGTAAAGTTAATATCACCACTTTGAAATTTTTACAGTTTTGGTTAATCATTATGGAATACCTATTTGATAGGTAATCACAGATATTTGTGCTGCTGAATATCTGTGTTCTATCTCTTGGTAATAGTTTTGTTTACAGTCGAACCTTCTGGAGCACCTGATATCAACCCTCCTTTTTTGTGGTGTTTATGTTGCTCAATCTTTTGTTTACTCTGTAGTGTTTTATGGACTACAGATAAATATTTGTCTTTTTTCATTTTGGGCATGACATTGTCTTACTTTCTCCAACTAATGGTTGTTTGTTGACCCTTTGGTAGGTTCTTTCCATTTTAATTGATGTTCAAATATATTTCAACACTGAATATACTCACAGCTGCACTAAATTTAGTATCGATTAGACCTGGTGCTATGCCATTGACTCTAATATTCTTTGGTGCCAAGCTACCTACTAATCCTTTCACCAGACCTAGTAATGCTGTTTTAGTTACTGCATAAGCTGGAATGGCCTGTTATAAAATACAGGTTTTTAACATATATAGTAAACAATTATAAAAAATTTTATATTAGGGGACGACCATTTGATATTCTGGGGGGGGCCAGGAGGATTTGTTTTGGATCGGTTATTTATTTTTGTAAACTAAGAGGACAGATTATCTATTTTCTGCACTACTGAAGCAAGATTTTTCATTTTCATTAAAGCAAGGGACTGATTATTTATTTTCACAACTATATTCATAATATTCGAAAACATACAATTTTTAAATTATTTGTTTATTATAAATAATTCATGTATAGTCAAGTCATTATGTACCATTTAATCAGAATTAATTATTATCCTCTGCAGAAATGAATCTTCTATATTCCCCAATGCATATACATGTATTGCATACACATTATTAAAGTTTAGTTGTAGCTAAGGCTCTTTAAAAGTATTGCCAAACATGTTTGGCCGAGCGGAGCGAGGCAAAATTTTTTTTGAAGGGTTTTTGAAACGCTGAAGGCCCAAGAAACTATAGAACAAATGATGCAAAATCATGCCTTCTGGGTGTTCCCCAGACCCTTTCTTAAACTGAAAATGCAAGTTCTGTTTTAATAATTTTATGACAATATTTTGGTCTCAAAGCAAAATCACGTTATAGATTCAGTGTAAGACTTAAGTTTTTAGGGACAACATCAAAAGACAAATATGCATGATAAATCAAAAATGTAATTCACATAGTTAAGTCTGTTGCTGCTGTGTTTTTTTAAACTCATGATCAAGTTAATAATAAAATGACTAAATTACAAAATGAATGCAACACTAAAAGAATACAGAAGGGCAATCAATGAACAAAAGACAAATAAATAAGAAACATTGATCCCGAAAAATCAGGGGCTACGTCCGAGGGAGAACAGAACTTGCTTCTTGCAAGGCACTCGCGGTGAACACAATTTGATATGGAGACAAGCGTTTGGTTTTGAAATTTCCTACATGAGGCATTTGTCTCAATGTAGTTACGGCCCTGATTTAATAAAAGTGAGGTAAGTGTTCCTGAGACAATTAACCTCAAGTTAAATGAAACCAATTTTCTGACATTTCAAGTATATTTAAATAATATTTATACTTTTATTATTAAAAGATATATATATATATATGGGAAGTGTTTCCCGATTTTTTTTTTTGGAAAAAAGATGAATTTATGAAGAATCTGGTGCCATCTCATACTTTCGATTAGACCTGCTGAGTTATTTATTTTCAATACATTGCAAGTCAGGTAATTTATTTTCAAACTACCACAGAACAAACCATTTATTTTTGTGATTATCAAGGCTGAGTTATTTATTTTCAAAATCCTCCTGGCCCCCCCCCCCCCCCCCCCCAGAATATCAAATGGTCGTCCCCTTACAACTTATTTCAAGAATGACATGTACCTAATGCTCTTTCAGTAATTGTTTTGAAAAATAAAGTAGACAAACAAAAGATTTTATAGTATAAATATACAAACAGACAGCAACCAAACAACAAATGTAAAAATAAGGAAGAAATGTCTTTTCCAATGCTAGATAAGCACCCACATTAATGAACAAGTTCAAAATCACATTGGGTCTAGAAATAGCTATGATTAAATTTAACAGAAACCAACCAAAGCTCTACCATTTAAAAGTAAAAACATGAAGGGACCATCAAACCATTAAAGAGATTCTTGAAACACACAAACATGTGGTCAGTACTCAGTCCTACTTTCTATTATAATGATATAGTTAAGAAAGAAAAGAATAAAAAAAATTAAATCAGAAAAGCACAGTTCAGAAGCAACTAAAGACACTTCTAAATAAGAGTAATTTAGGCAACTGAACTTTTAAATACATTATGTAAAGCAAAGAAGCTGCAAGGTCCAGATATTAATTTGATATAGTGTAAAATAATGATTCACTGTTAATCAGTGAAACAAAAAAAAACCCAATAAATGGCACGATTTATATATCCCACAACAATTATGTTGTTAACTTTGTCAGTAAGTCTATTCAGCCAAAAAGAAAAATCCAAAGTACAACTCTTAAACTTTTTAGCTTTGTTAACAATATTGTCATAAAACACTTAGGGGAAAAACATGTAAGCATATTCAGTTGATCCTCCAGAGACCCTACCTTTTCATATTTTTGTAACCTTAATTTATGATTCAATTATATCCAGTAAAAAATATAACCTAAAATCTTAAAACAATATTAAAATATATATATTCAGGATCAGTTTGGGGGAAGAAAATGATGATATGGACAGTATATGCTTCTTGTAATTTTTGTAAGGAAGAATAAAAACAAAGACTGGTTTAATGTACTTGGTGAGGATGACTTAACATACAGAAGGATTTCCACAAGCTTCAGTAAACATATATGCATGACGAACATTTCATGAAACTGAGTATGACATAAAAAAACAACTTAGGGGACGACCATTTGATATTCTGGGGGGGGCCAGGAGGATTTGTTTTGGATCGGTTATTTATTTTTGTAAACTAAGAGGACAGATTATCTATTTTCTGCACTATTGAAGCAAGATTTTTCATTTTCATTAAAGCAAGGGACTGATTATTTATTTTCACAACTATATTTATAATATTCGAAAACATACAATTTTTAAATTATTTGTTTATTATAAATAATTCATGTATAGTCAAGTCATTATGTACCATTTAATCAGAATTAATTATTATCCTCTGCAGAAATGACTCTTCTATATTCCCCAATGCATATACATGTATTGCATACATACCCAGTATTAAAGTTTGGTTGTAACTAAGGCTCTTTTAAAAGTATTGGGAAACATGTTTGGCCGAGCGGAGCGAGGCAAAATTTTTTTTGAAGGGTTTTTGAACCGCTGAAGGCCCAAGAAGCTATAGAACAAATGATGCAAAATCATGCCTTCTGGGTGTTCCCCAGACCCTTTCTTAAACTGAAAATGCAAGTTCTGTTTTAATAATTTTATGACAATATTTTGGTCTCAAAGCAAAATCACATTATAGATTCAGTGTAAGACTTTTAAAAGTTTCTAGGAACAACATCAAAAGACAAATATGCATGATAAAGCAAAAATGTAATTCACATAGTTAAGTCTGTGGCTGCTGTGTTTTTTTAAACTCATGATCAAGTTAATAATAAAATTACTAAATTACAAAATGAATGCAACACTAACAGAATACAGAAGGGCAATCAATGAACAAAAGACAAATAAATAAGAAACATTGATCCCAAAAAATCAGGGGCTTCGTCTGAGGGAGAACAGAACTTGCTTCTTGAAAGGCACTCACGGTGAACACAATTTGATATGGAGACAAGCATTTGGTTTTGAAATTTCCTACATGAGGCATTTGTCTCAATGTGGTTATGGCCCTGATTTAATAAAAGTGAGGTAAGTGTTCCTGAGACAATTAACCTAAAGTTAAATGAAACCAATTTTCTGACATTTCAAGTATATTTAAATAATATTTATACTTTTATTATTAAAAGATATGGGAAGTGTTTCCCGAATTTTTTTTTGGAAAAAAGATGAATTTATGAAGAATCTGGTGCCATCTCATACTTTCTATTAGACCTGCTGAGTTATTTATTTTCAATACATTGCAAGTCAGGTAATTTATTTTCAAACTACCACAGAACAAACCATTTATTTTTGTGATTATCAAGGCTGAGTTATTTATTTTCAAAATCCTCCTGGCCCCCCCCAGAATATCAAATGGTCGTCCCCTTACTTTTCATGTATATTAACCCTTACCAGAGACATATATACACATGTGTATATATATGTCTCTGCCCTTACCATGCTGAGCCCGTCATATGACGGGATGACCCAGACCACCGTTATTTGGCTCTAAAGCTCTCCATGCTTTTAGAGGTCAACTTTATGATACTTATTTCGAAATGGATGCATGTTCCCTCAACCTGAGGCTATCTATTGTCATGTTTCTCATGTTTAAGGAGCATTTTGAGCTCAAATACGAACTTGGAAAATTGAAATTGGATAAAACTGGTTTTTCTGGAGGGGTTGGCTTCCCTTCTGTGTCTTACACAGGAAGTTCAGAGGCCTAAAACTTTCAAAAATAGTGTAAACCCGCAGACATATATCTACTGATCATAATTATTTTTGAAATACGCAGAGGAAACGACTACTTCCAGTTTCAGGTCCAGCTGAAGTCCAAAATCGGAAAAAATCGTGAAATTCCGTATTTTTTGTCCAAATGACCTTCTTTAGACTGGTGTTCCCAGATCAGTTTCACTGTTTTAATGTGTTTACTGGGGTCCACTGTACATGCAGACTACAGATGGATACCTATATCAGCATCCCTCGGTCTTTGGGGTCAAGTAATAGGACGAAAAATCGTCAAAAATGACGCTTTTTGCACCTGATGACCAACTTTGGGGCAAATTCCCGCCTACCCACCCCCACCTCCTCACCCCCTCACCCCAACCACCCCGCCCCGTGATCCCCTACCTTAGATTTAAAGAAATCAATATGCTTCAGCAGCAGGGTAAAGCTCATTTGCATATAATTTGCATATTTTTGCAAATAAACGAAAATTAGACTTTTTCAGAAAACAATTCAGCATGGTAAGTGTTAAGGCCATTGGTGGTAGAAATCGATTTTTTTCCAGTTCAAGCCTCAATTTGTATGTTTTTTCATCTCATTTTAGGTCGGAATGGATTATCAAGGCCTCCAGATACACGGATTTGCTCAAAAACACTTTTAAGTTGATTTTAATTTTTGTTGTTTATTTAATTAAAGTGTTTATGATTTAAATTATCAAAATATTTCGGGTTTGTGTTATCAGAATGAGATGTTGTTTGCTATTGGCAGCTGTAACCATTAACTGGGTATGTATAAAACAAGGAAGTTATATTTCCATTAGCAATTATATTTACCTTTGTTGCACTCTGAAATTTGTGACAAAAATTATAAATATTCTTAACTAACTAATTTAATCTTTTAAAAGAAAGACAGTAACAAATTCTACATTAATCAAGAATTTAAGCAGTATAACTGCATGATACCCCTAAATTTCAAACAAGTGTATTATAAATTTATAACTGCTTTAAAAGCTTACTTATATTTTGATTTGGTACAAAGTATTAAAATCAATTATTATGTCTGTAGCAATTTTTTGTGATTTTTTAAAACTAAAATATCAAACCATTGATTTTCATTTAAAATTTCCATACTTAGTCCATGAATGCAGTTTCATATAGGTTTTAACTGTCCAAATGTTGTTTGGAAATTTCCCTGAAGATAATTCTCTTAAAAGGGAGGTCAATTATGCCACTTTAAAGGGAAACTAAACTCATCACAAGCTATTTCACTTTGATTTAAATCTTTAATGTAAAAAATAATAAAAACAAGCATTCTGTGAGTATTGCATGGCAATACATAGCTCCCTTCCGGTTAAAAATTCATTGAAATGGAACGAAATTCTAACTTGATCTATAACTTGTCATGGTGTAAACTACATAAAAATATCAAGTCAAAATCTTCAAGCATGACGAAAAAAACTGTTGAAAACTAATTATTTAAGTGAATTTTCTATGTCCAAAGACCATAACTCTGCACAAAATCATCAGACCGGAACAAAATTCCAACTTGATCTGTAACTTGTCATGATAAAACTATGTACTAATTATCAAATCAATATCTTCAAGAATGACAAACAAACCTACCACTAAATTCTTCAAACAATTTATCAAAAAGGAAAAAATCCAAAATGTCATTTTGCCTTTTAAAAACTGAGTTATTTCCCTTTGAACAGAAAACTACTAATTAATAAGTATTTCATCAAAAATTTAATTCTAGGGAAAGGGCTTTTACTGAACAAAGAGAAAAGCTAAAATCGTGAAAATTAAACTTGACCTGTAACTTGTCATGATAAAACAATAAACCAAATATCAAATCAATATCTTCAAGCACGAAGAAAAAAAGTCTGCAAAACTGATTTGCCGAACTGACATGTGGACAGACAGACGGACAGAGTGCAAACCTAAAGTCCCCTTCGACTTCGTCGGTAGGGACTAATAAATGGAAAATGTGTCTCCATGGACACAGATGATGCCCCCCCTTGCATACAACATTATAAAGGGACATAAATCAAGAACAATAAAAGTGACACTACCCAAATTTAAACTTGATATTAGTTTTGTGGTAATAAGTATTGTGTACAGGTTTTATGTTTGGTTGGGGCAAACTTAAGTTACAAAATGCAAACTAAAAATTTTGCAATTTTTCGATTTATAAAGGGGCATAACTCAATAATGGTTAAAGTGACACTATCCAAATTCAACTTGATCTGTGTTTTATCAGTGGAAGGCAAAATTAAACATTGCATTGTATAAAACATTGATTGTAGTTGATTCAACTATAATCATGGACAAAGGAAGATAACTCCAATTCTAAAAATTACTTGAATACTGACATCATTGACATTTATAGAAAAAAAAGAGAAAATTAGCAATTTTTCCATTTATAAAGGGGCATAACTCTAGAACGGTTAAAGTGATGCCACCAAAATTCAAACTAGATCTGTGTTTTGTGGTAATAAGCATTGTGTATAAGTTTGATAACATTTGGTTGAGGCAAACTTAAGTTACAGAACGGAAACCAATTTTGGGATGTACAGACAGACGGACAAGGGTAAAACTTAATGCCCCCTCCGCTTCGGCGGGGGCATAAAAATGTGACAAGAAATGTATGCATGAGAGATTTTGCATATAGGTTACATTTCCAAGGGGAATAACTCCAGAACAAAAACTCAACTGATGCTGATTTTTGATTTCATCCCAGATAATGCTGATGTTAACCTTTGACTAAAGTCTAAAGATCAATGTTGTTGAAATAAAACTTACAATAAATGGGGAATGTGTCCATGGGACACAGATGATGCCCCCGCTTGCATATAATGTTATAAAGGGACATAACTCAAGAAGGGCAAAAGTGACGCTACCCAAATTTGTACTTGATCTGAGTTTTGTGGTAATAAGCATTGTTTATAAGTTTCATAACATTTAGTTGAGGCAAACTTAAGTTAGAGAAGGGAAACGAAAAATTCAGCAATTTCTCCATTTGTAAAGGGGCATAACTCTAGAACAGTTCAAGTCACACCACCAAAATTCGAACTTGATCTGTGTTTTGTGGTAATTAGCATTGTGCATACGTTTCATAACTTTTGGTTGAGGCAAACTAAAGTTAGAGAACAGAAACGAATATTTCAGCAATTTTTCCATTTGTAAAAGAGCATAAAAAATTGAAAACAACACGTTTAATAATTTCTTGCGTCCGAAGTGCTTTTCTGGATTTACCTTCATCAGGAACGCTCAAAGCCAAACATTTGAAATCCGAAGATGTATAAGTACCGAAACCGTTGAAGAGCTATATGTCAAAAATACCTAAAATAAATAGCCAAATTCATCTAAAGCCAACTTTGCCTGAGGGAGTTGAAACCTTAGTTTCTTAATAATTTCAAAATTTATAAACGGACAATTTTAGTAAAGTTTGTTAAATCATGTCAGTACCGAGGTACTGATTACTGAGCTGATGATACCCTCGGGGACTGATAGTCCACCAGCAGAGGTATCAACCCAGAGATGTAAAAAATTGAAAATAACACGTTTAATAATTTCTTGCGTCTGAAGCGCTTTTCTGGATTTACCTTCATCAGGAATGCTCAAAGCCAAACATTTGAAATCCGAAGATGTATAAGTACATAAAAATGTACATTGTCGATTTTCAATAAAAATATGTAACAAACTTTTAAATAGTCAGTATTGATTTTCAAACCTGTCCAATAATCAATACAAAATTGTCAATGTTAAAGGTAGTTACCAGTATTTTGATCAATTTTGAGTTATTGTACCATAACTTGGTAAGAATACCAATTTATCATGAATAAAATGCTAAATTTCTGAAATCATCATAATAATTTAATGCTATAATGAAATAAAATTTTATTGTATTCAGTATAACTTAGTTTAAACAATATTTCATTTCTCAAAAGTGCACAAATTACAATTATACAATAGAAATACAGGAATTCGGAAACAGGAAGAACTTAAATAAATCCGTCTCCCTCAGTGTAACTTGTGGTCTGTTGAATATTCAATCAACCTGTATTAGATTGGAAAATTTGCTAATCTCTGGATTCTAATCTCTCCTTGTATATTTCTTCCACAAAAGAAATCTTGGTATTTGTCTACTAAAAGATCATTGGAACCTACACCATAGAGACGATATTTATATTTATTGCCTTCAAGTCACCATAAAATATCATCAAAGAACAGTAGTTCTATTAAAGATAGCAAAGTTCTCACCTCACTTGAAATATATCCAGCAATAGATGATACTATCACAATAGAACCACCACTGAAAAAAAAATCAATACATTTAATGAATGTATAATACTATGTCACAGTATGTGTACAAATGTCACTAAAATGGCAGTTTTAATTAGAAATTCTGTACTAACAGCATATACATGTACCGGTAAGTTGTTCAGTGTAAATGACCACAATTGTACCAAATTTCAGCACTGCCTAAACTCTGTCAAATTTTGGACAGAACAACCCTTTTAAAAGTGACCAATTTTATTTTATCTCATCGTTCCAACTGATAGTGAGAGGCATATATTGATTGCATTTTTACCAAATACAGTTCTTCACAGCTTGATTCCTACATGATTGATATATCCATTACTTGTTTTGTGGGAAAATTTTAAACTTGAAAAGTATTATCTAGGTAAAAAATTCTTAGAAATTTGCCGTCACTAACAAAAAGTAGTGTTGGCAACCTTGATTGGTAAATGCATATAAAATAAAATTCTAAAAGAAGATAACTGAGAATTTATGATTAATATCCTCTGTAACTACAGTAAAAAAGGTCTTATACAGGTAATTATTCTTATGTTCTTTAGATAGTAATGAAGGTTGTTTGCCAAGTAAGCTGAATAATAAGAAAGGTAAGGTTTAGAAATATTATAAGGATGTATCAGGTTAATTTCATTCAAATTGAACATTTGGACACTACAGAAAACATTTATGGATAGACAAAATAGCTCACATTGGCCATTTCATCAGGTGAGATATTCACCAAAGAGAATGAATTTCCTAAGAAAACTGACATACCCTCTTTTTTCTATGTGAGGTACAATTTCTTTACACAGCATAAATGTGGCTTTAACATTAGTATCAAAAAGCTGAAATATAAAAAAAATTTACAATGTTAACATTTTGTCAGGTAAAAAAAAATCATTATATTGTGGATTAATTATTGTTCGCGGGAAACCAATTTTAGTGAAATTTGTGGGTATAGGTAAAACATGAATTTGAATGTTCAACAAAGTTAAAAGAAAATCTATAGATATGCAGCCAGACTTTAATCAAAACCCCAAAATCAAATATCCACGAAAATACAAGTTTTCCTCAATTCATGAAATTTGGTACCAACACAAATAAATGAATCAACAGTAATTGATTTGTTATGTTCTGCAATATAAAATAAGTGTTGTACGGACTAAAACACAAGTGGAGATAACCCTTCTGCATCGTAATTGATATATTTCTTTATTCAATTAAATACAGAATATTTGAGAAACTGTACGCAGGATATTGGGATCCTTTGCTGTCGAGAAATTGTGAAGAAAAAAGTCAAGATACACACCAATAAGACATGAGTTAGACAGTGACCAAACAAAACAAGATTATCATAAAAATACATATATATAGAAGTCATGCAGCCTTCAACATTGGTAAATGTTATTTGTTAACAGGTATATTGTTTTGAATTTTTTACAAAGTTTAGGATTTTCATCACACAGGTTTCCAAATTTCATCTTTTTTTAACCTCTTTGACCTTTTCCAATGCAATGCTTTTAACAGTAATTCTAATATTTCCAAACAATTTTTTTGAAAACATACAACATTGTACAATGTTTATCTTGAATAACTTTGTGACAAAATATAAAATGTCATGAACATCTTCTGTTTTCTTTTGTTTTTCTGTATAGTTTATATAAAAATAAGGAGATGTGGTATGATTGCCAATGAGACAACTATCCACCAAAGTTCAAATGAAGTTGATGTTAGTTTGATTTGGGCGTAGCACAAGATCATGTCTTCCTGAACTGCTTATGACTTTGCTGTATGAAATCTTCTTTGATGTACAGCAACTGATATTAAGTGTAGGACGGCAGAATTTCTTATCACTAGGTTTACTACTTTGGGCTTGCTTTCAGTAACTACAAGAATTCTTGAAAGAAAGAAAAAAAAAGGGGCTGTAATGAGACCTTAAACAAGAACATTTTTCTTGAAAATGTATTCACATTTTGTTATAGACTTGTGTCAATTATTACTACATTAGCTTGACATACAATGTATTGTCACAATGTCTTTTATTAAAGACTACATGCTACCTCTAGACATCTTTTGGTATTTTTTTTCATTGGGTTGATGTCTCATTGATGTAAACCCTTCAAATCTTCTATTATTTATATCCATAAGGACTTCATGTTCATAATTTATTTTTTAGATTTTTGCGTTGAAAAACAAAACATCCTACCTTATCCCAGGCATCTTCAGAACACTGCAAAATAAATGTATGTTTTATAATAAATATATTTTAGATAGATTTCTGAAATACAGCTGCATAAAACTGCATTATTACAAATGTATCAACCAAAAAATTTATCACTTTATGAATTTCATAAAAAAAAACAAGCTGATAATTATGTATAATGAATTTATGATTGTTATTTTTTGACTATATTTGTGAAAAGAGGTTAAATCCAAATGAAAAGTATATCATTTTTTAATCTAGTTTAGGGATATATATTTTTTTTCATACTTCTCATATACTAAAATCCTTTTATCAAAATCAGAGTTCACTCGGACATGTATAAAATTGTCATAAAAGCTTTTGATTACTGTAAATTCAGAAATTTTTGCCTTGTTTTTATAATTGTGAAATTCACATTTATCAATCATCCTGCAAAGGCATATTGACAGCAGCAATTGATATTTTCTTCTGTTTCTTTTCTAAGTAGAAAAATATCTAATTTAATAAAATAAAAAGTGTAGGAGTAATAAAAACGTCTTTGTTTTCCCATTCATCCATATGTACAATTTTGAAATAGATTTGAAAGTAGAGATCTGAAATTATGCTTTATATTAACACAATTACACTTGCTCTATTTCCAAAATTCATGCATAATTAATACAATAGAAATTGACAATACAGTATTACTTACATCAATTAAAGGACCCATTGTTGGATTGGCTGCTGCGTTAGATACTAAAATATCAATACCACCATACTCATCTATTGTCTGAAAACATACAAAAATATCAATACCATCATACTCATCTATTGTCTGTAAACATACAAAATATCAATACATCCACACTCATCTATTGTCTGAAAACATACAAAATATCAATACCTCCATACTCATCTATTGTCTGAAAACATACAAAATATCAATACCACCATACTCATATATTGTCTGAAAAAAAATATCAATACACCCACACTCATCTATTGTCTGAAATAACAAAATATCAATACCACCATACTCATCTATTGTCTGAAAACATACAAAAATATCAATACCACCATACTCATCTATTGTCTGTAAACATACAAAATATCGATACCACCATACTCATCTATTGTCTGAAAAAAAATATCAATACATCCACACTCATCTATTGTCTGAAATAACAAAATATCAATACCACCATACTCATCTATTGTCTGAAAACATACAAAAATATCAATACCACCATACTCATCTATTGTCTGAAAATGTACAAAATATCAATGCCACCATACTCATCTATTGTCTGAAAAAAAATATCAATACATCCACACTCATCTATTGTCTGAAATAACAAAATATCAATACCACCATACTCATCTATTGTCTGAAAACATACAAAAATATCAATACCACCATACTCATCTATTGTCTGAAAACATACAAAAATATCAATACCACCATACTCATCTATTGTCTGAAAATGTACAAAATATCAATGCCACCATACTCATCTATTGTCTGAAAACATACAAAATATCGATACCATACTCATCTATTGTCTGAAAACATACAAAATATCGATACCTGACCATACTCATCTATTGTCTGAAAACATACACAAACAATGCATATCAAGATGTGATAAAAATAAGAAGATGTGGTAAGATTGCTGATGAGACAAATTCTCCACCAGTAACCAAAGGATGTAGAAGTTAGCAACTAAAGGTCACTGTACCGCCTTCAACTTATTTGCTTCAATATAACCAACCATAATAGTTTCAATTTCTATTTAATGTATAAAATCTTATGAAAAACTATACATTATATATATCTTAGGGCAGCTCCATTTAAACATCATGGAACTCAGGGAAGGCACTTTCAAATTGAGATAACCATCCAAATGCAGCAAATTTAGAATGTCCCTTACATTTTCACTGCTCTTACAACCAATCTATAGTTAAGATATAAAAGTTCTTGTCCTGGGTCCCATGCATGTTTTAGTGGAACAGTCTTATTTTTGTTTTCTTTTTGTAATTCATTATATACTTAGTAGTAAATAAAGATAAATTGTATGTGTAATACAATCATTGGCAAGCGTGCTGTATCAGCACGGTTTCAAAGGCTTTATCACACCTTTAATCTGTATGACGTCACGTCATCGATTGCAAATCCCTAATCTGTATGACGTCATTTCAAACCTCCTTATCAGTATGACGTCATGTCACATAAAAAAATATCTACGTGAGGTATATGTATATAATAAAGTGTATATGATATGGCTTTTTCAATATCACACACCGTATCAACCCTCAACCAATATAATCCCTCGAGCAGAGCTCTTGGGATTATATTGGTGTCTCAGGTTGATACGGATGTGATATTGAAAAAGCCATATGATATTCTCTATTTAATGTTGATATCAGAACTTTGTTTTTGTATCTGTTTAATTTTTTTACAATTAGAATTGACTCAGAATGATTTAGAGCTTGTCTTATTATACATGTTATACAGACACATTGTTGACGATTGCATGTTTCAATCTTCATGTTTTTTTTAATTTTTGTCATTGGATTGCTGTCTCAATGACATATGTCCCACATCTCCTTTTGTTCTTATTAAAATAAAAATTATGAGTCCAAGATTGGGGAACAAACACTACTAAGACATGTATGGTTTTATGGGTTGTTTATGAAGCTTGTAGATAAAATCATCTCAATTCACCTCACAAATGATAATCTGGGAGAAACTACATTGAAACAAAGAAAATATTCCTGAAAGCCAGCTTCAATATCAGAATCAGAGCACAGTGTGTCTGAAACCCACCTCTCAAGCTTAACATTTTTTTACAATTTTTTCTCTCGCCATTAAGATATTTGTAAATCATCGGACAGAGATAAATCTGGTAACAATAAAAACAGGATTTAAACAATCAAATTTATAATTGATAGATTTCAAAATATACTTTGTACAATTTACCAGACAAACAAAAAAGAGATTGATTAATTTTTGGCTGGGTTGGACAGAGTCCAAAACTGACTTAGTATTGTCATGGTGGATAGGCAGGCTCCCACGGAAAAGTGAGTACCTAATTTGTGTAATCAACTCCTAGTTTTCAACCCAGATCCCTGAAACTTCAGAGGTAGATTATGAATATGTTGAAGTTGTGCCCCTGCTATTATGGAATTGTTTGAGTAATTTATCTCATTTTCCAGACTTTGAAACTTAGTAATTTTTTAGAAAAATCTATGAAAAAGGGTACAAGTTTTCAATTTCTCCAACAGTTTCAACCAACATGACTAAGATCCCTAAGACTTGACAGAAAAAAATGTACACATGTTGAAGTTGTGCACCTGAATTGTTTCAAATCTTTTCTAAATTTTTCTGGACGGGAACTTACTTATTTTCCAGCAAAATATACAACCTTCATGTAATTGCAACTACTGTGTGTAAACATTTCTACATTGATTAGTCACAAATATTGCAACCCGGCCATTTGAGACTTTGACCCATTTTTTATTCTTATACTTGATAATGCAAATATGAATTTAGTTCAATTATGATGTAGTAACCAAAGACAATGAGACAAATTACTATTACCTCATTAAATTTATCAGCATTTTTTTTTATGTTCTCCTGGTAAAACAAATTTATGCAAATATTTTGTCGACCATATTTGTTAAATCTTGACAGTTTGATTTAGTCAATCCAAGCTACAAAGATGGAATATTACATGTATGCTACCCTGCTAACCTTTTGTATAAGTTTTGTTCTATCCTCTTTCTTGCCGACATGACAAACAATTCCACGCACATCAAGATTTTCTTTTTTTAATATATCAACAGCTTTGTCAACATTCTTTTGTTTTCTGCTACTAACAACAACCTTTGCACCATCTTCTCCAAGACGTCTGGCTATGGCAAAACCAATTCTGAAATTTATTATTATTTCAATCATGTTAACAACTCATGAGACATCAAATGAGGTGTATACAAACAAAAAAGTACACAATATTGTTACATATACAACTGATATACCGGTACATGTACTTGTATAAAAAACAAAAGTCTGGTGAAACATTGCTTGACAATTAAGTTCTAGTTTCTTTATTATTAGTGTTATGTAGTAAGTAATATGTTCTGTAACAATACATGCAACTTTTATGCTTTCTATTATTTATTTTTTTCATATTTTTATGGCATTAATAGGAATTGTTGTTTTGACCTGTGAAATCAAAACCCCAAATGAAAATAACATCATGTTGTTGGATGAATTTTTATGGACTCTAGTGATTTATTTCCTGGTCCCCTTATAGAAAGTTGCTCTCCACATGAGCAATGACTGGGGAGTCTCAGGAATCAAGTTTGATATATATGCTTGCTTTACATTGCAAACCCTTTTAAATATATCTCATGAAACTGAACTATAACAGTCAGTTAAACTTATCTAAGATATCAGATATCACCAGAGCTTTAATGTTACGATTAGTTATTATGACAATAGACAATATTTATTAGCTCTAACACATTCACAATAAATAATTAAGGCATGATTATCATGATTATAAAGTATAGACAATAAAACAGACAACTGTGCAGTGAAAAAAAGAGGGTGACAGTGGCTTTCATATGAGAATTAAAAAATATATGCTGCTGCTCAACAGTATGGACATATGATTCAGTGATATTACTGAATGCAATTTCATACATTTTAGATAAGTGTTTATTTTTTTAATATAAGTACCTCCTTCAAAAGACATAGTATGGACAGTCTGAAAAGAAATGGTATTCATTTTCAATTTGTTCTCTGTGAGTCTGTCACAAGACAGGCATAAGCATTGTTTTCTTTCAATGTTACAATAATGCTGCCATTCAATAGCTATAATGAACACTGAGTCTAAATTTACTAAGGACTAATCTGAAAGATTTTGTTTTAAGAATATCAGTATAAGTGGGTCGTTTCCCAACTATACATGTATATGAAACATTTAGCTTTTCACATTTTTGGATTGAACAGTTCAAGTTTAGGTGAGCCTGATCAATGATCCTTTGTTGGATATTATTTATATAACTTTTTATTTCATAAGGGTCCAAATTTAGATTACTAAATCCTAATTTATTTATCCAATCTTTTACAATGTTGTCCCATTTACTGGTTTTCTCAACATTTTTATAGATTTTATAGACCAATGAATGTGGCGAGTTTATGATATGTTTTAGAAATGTTATAGCTGACAGTTGAATTTTCAAGTTAAGATGAGTTCTGTTTGTCACAAGCTTCATATGTGGTTTTGCACTGTACTCCCAAAATTTATTTTATAAATTTTATATGTAGATGTTCAAAGGGGTCGGAATCTTTAAACTTTTCAACTACACCCCAAACTTTACTTCTGTAAAGAGTTATATGGACAACCAAAGTGTCAAATAATTTTTCAAGTAAATTGCAGGGATTATCTAACATGTCTAAAGAAATTGTCTTCTTAATTTTAAACCAAGCATTTCTGCCCTTTTTTGACAGAATTTTATTGGAAGGACTTAAGTTGCCTGCATAATTCATTGTTATTCCAAGATAGCAGTACGGTTTATTGGTCTCCAGATATTCATTTTCTAATATATATAAAATAATTACAGTGTGATTTCCCATTAGAATTAAATACTATCATTTTTGATTTTTGTTTATATACATCATTTTCCATAAGGGGCAACATTTATTTAAATCATTTAGTGCATTATGTAGCCCTTCTTGAGTTTCTGATAATAAAATGATGTCATCTGCATATAATAAGGATGTTAGTTTTACATCACCAATCATTATTGGTTCAGTATTTGCATGGTTTAGGTCATTAAAAAGACTGTTTATATGAAGATCAAATAATGTGGGACTAAGAAAATCCCCTTGTTTTACTCCACAAGTTTACATAAATTCATGGCTATGCCATTTTGAAATTTAATTCTTCCTTTAATTTTTATTATACATGGAATGAATGACATTAAACAGTTTGCTTGGAAGATTGTGGTGAGTAGAATATAAAATAAACCTTCTCTCCAAACAGTATAAAAGGCCTTCTGTAGATCAATGAATGATATTAAACAGTTTGCTTGGAAGATTGTTGTGGAGTAGAATATAAAATAAACCTTCTCTCCATGCTCTCCAACAGTATAAAATGCCTTCCATAGATTAATAAATGCTGCTAATACTTTCTTTTTTTGTGTCTTGAATTTATCAACAATTGATTTAAATGAAAAGATATGGTCAGTGGTTCTAGCCTTTTCCCTAAAACCAATTTGACTTTCACATACCAAAGTAATGATGTTAATAAATTTTATAAGTCTGGTATAATTTTGTTCAATAATTTTCCTAAATAGAGGTGAGCAAAATACCTCTATAATTGGTTGGGTCAGATTTGTTGCCCTTTTTATGAATTAATATGATGAGACTTTCATTCCATATTTTCGGGAAGATGCCTTTCATAAATACAAGGTTGGGGAGTTTTGATAAGGGTCCCAATAATACTGGCATACCAAACTTAATCATTATGTTAGAAACTAAGTCACCAGCTGGTGATTTGTCATTTTTAAGTGATTTGACCACCTTCAAGATTTCAACTGATTTAATCGATTGATTTAACATGTTTAATTTGTTGTTTGGCAGAAGGGCCTTTTTCAGGACATCAGGAATAGGCCTTTATTTTTGCAGGAAATACGGTATTGTGCCTAATTTTCACAGGAATTTTTCTGGATTTTGAAAGAATGCTCTATTTTTAAGGGAATTTGGGATAACATCCCCTCCTACCGCCCCATGTGCAAACATGTATATGCCAACTTCAATTAAAAGTTATTTACTTACTATAAAGAAAAAAGAGCAAAGTTACAGATTGACAAGCTTCATAGATCAGACTAATTTTAGGCTCAACCACAATCTTAAGGATAATGTACCCTTTAGTTGTTTCAATGCTATTTGTGAAATTTTATAAAAAAATTTGCAGCCTTTCCCCTTGTACTCCTATATTTGACAATTAAACGCTTAATAGATTATATAGGATTATTGCATGCAGTGCTAGTGTTATGTTTATTGTTCGTTATGGTTACAAACAAGAAGAACCTTGTTGTATCAATACATGTTTCACGCAGAAGGAAGCGTTGTGTCGATTTAAACGTTTGGCGGGGAAATTAGTGGCTGGGTCGAAAGTTATAGGGGTGACCGTAAGGGACTCTCTATGCTCCGTAAGGGTAATATATAGAGAACATCCCTATCAAGGAAATAGTGGTATCGACCACGAGTATATAAGAGAACGAGAAACGGCACTTGAGGCTGTCGGTTGGGTGTCGATGAGCTGTCATCCTTCAATAGAGCGTACGTCGATATGTTAAGTGCTAGAAGAGCCTTGATATTCAGAGGACACTTTGTAAGGGTACAAAGTGGACGTACACGTTGATAGGATTGACATAGCAGATTGTCCCACTCGGAGGACAGGCTGTACCAGCCCGCACTGTCTGGTAGTGACAGACTGTCCCACTCGGAGGACAAGTTGTACCAGCCCGCACTGTCCTGAAGTGACAGACTGTCCAACTCGGAGGACAGGCTGTACCAGCACACACTGTCTGATACAGAATGACTATACCAGCCATACTGTTTTTTAGTGACAGACCGTCCCATCTTGAGGACTTGCTGTTTTATTGTGTTATATTTGTATATATATAATTGTCCGTTGTTACTTTATATCGGCAAAGAGTCAGTGTGTATATTTTAGTTCATTATGCATAATATAGATAGTTGTAGTTTTTAGTATTGCCGTATTGTTTGTGGACAACTTGGATCCAAGAAATTACTGGAACGGACGTTTGGGATATAAACGCCTGGTTACACGTTACATATTTGGTGGCTAGCGGTTGGGATTCAAGTTGTCTGTTGAACACTTTTTGATTGATTGATCGTTATTTAATTTATTGTCAGTTGACATAAGTATTTATTTAAAGGATTAAAGTATATCAACCGTGAGACATAGTTGTAGTTCACGGCTGAGTTGTAACACTAGTGTATTATTTAATAAAAATTGTTTTATTTTGATTATACTGTATAGCAATAAATATGTCAAATATTGACGATCAGATTGCTGAAATTAGTAGGCAAATACAGTCGCTTAGTAAAAGCACAATACAACATGGACAATGTTTAATATCTTCTACATCTAAAGATCAGGGTGTACGTACAAAGGTTATTGCAAATAAAGATCATGATTCAGGCGTAGTGACGACAGGGCCGTCTCTATCAGCACATAGTGGATTGGCCGTGGGAGATACACTGCCTTTGCCAGATGAGGATTTTATATCAAATCCTCACATGAGTAATAGAAAATCCATGGGGCAAGATAAACAGTATTTAACAAAAAATCAAAGTACTGCTCATACTGTTTGCTCTGGTTCGAATGATGTTAAAATCAAACCATCAAAATATGATGGCAGTACTTCTTGGATGGATTACTTAGCACACTTTGAGATGTGTACCCTAGTTAATATGTGGTCTGAACACCAGAAAGGTTTGTACTTGGCCGTGTCACTGATTGGACAGGCTCAATCAGTCCTTGGTGATTTACCAAAGGAAAAGAGACACATATTTTCAGACCTAGTAAACGCACTAGAGGAACGCTTTGATCCATCTGGTCAAACGGAACTCTATCGTGTTAAATTCAAGGAATGTCGACAAAAAGCAAGCGAGACTTTGCCGGGGTTAGGTCAGTCAGTACGAAGACTTTCTAATCTGGCCTACCCGACTGCTCCGTTAGAATTAAGGGACACGCTCGCCAAAGAACAATTTATAGATGCGTTAGTAGACTCCGAAATGAGACTGAGAATTAAACAGTCTCGTCCAAAAGTTCTCAATGATGCTATACGGTTGGCAGTTGAGCTTGAAGCTTATAACACGGCTGAGAGCAAAACACTGAAAAGTATGGGTCATTTACGACAGACTACTAGTGACGAACGGACAGACACACCTAATAGTCTTGATATGGCTGTATCTATAATAATGGAACAAATGACGACGTGGATGCAGACGATTGAAAATAATTTACTGTCCTTAACAAAAGAGATTAAAGATTTACCAAGGGGGAAGATAAATAGCGCACAAAGTAAAGGAAAAAGGTGTGGTCCCTGTTTTAGTTGTGGAGAAATAGGACACTTTGCAAGAAATTGTCCCAATAGAATTAAGATACAAAGTACTCGGGGAACAGATAACAACGGAACATATACGAACGGATCGGTTAATACACTGAAGTCTGAAGTTAAGTCTTCAAACAATGATAAAGGCGCTGTTGTTGTTTCAGCATCAGAGGATGCAGGAATGTTTGTTGAGTTGAGCATTCAAGATGTACCAGTCAAGTTTGTGGTTGATACTGGAGCTACACTAACTTTAGTCTCTACAAGAGTGTATGATTTAATTCCTGACTTGTATAGGCCACATCTGAGTAAAACTAGGTCACAGATTAAGTCCGTCTGTGACAAATATCTAAGCCTTCGAGGTAAAGGTAGTTTTAAAATGGATTTTGGTAAAGAGAAGTTTACTTCAGAGGCCGTTGTAACTGATCTACAAGTAGATGGTATTCTAGGTTTAGACTTTATGAAGAAAAATAAGTGTTTGATTGACGTGTCAGCTAACTTATTACACATCGATAACTTTAGGGTTCCTCTAATTTTTCAAGGTACCCGACGTAGAAATGCTGATGCATTAAGTAGTGCTCCAGGCAAACCACGTCGGTTAACATCAGACAGTCAGTCAAACATGAGCAGTGATTGTTCTAAGAGGGAACATAGCCATGTCAAAATCGTAACCAGTCAGATGCCTGACAATGGCAAAGAATTGACTCTAATGGAACTACGATCAAATGACTCGGACCTTAAACTTGTTAAGCGGTGGCTGACAGAGGGTCATAGGCCACAATACAATGAGGTATCAGGTAAGGGATTCTTTATAAGGTCATTATGGAGTCAGTTTGATAGTTTAGAGCTCCAAGAGAATATAGTAGTTAGACGCTTCAATGACCTAGAACTGAACGTTGCAAAATTACAAGCGGTAATTCCAATGTCTGAGCGCAAACAAGTATTAGAATACTGTCATGACACAAAGTATGCTGGTCACATAGGTATTCATAAAACTCGATAGAAAATACGCCAGTCTTACTATTGGCCTGGTTTGCAATCTGACGTTAGGGCATATGTTGCTAGTTGCAATAAGTGTACTAGGAGAAACCACCAAATGAAAAAGAATCATGCCTCAGTGAGATTAGAGGAGGAAAATGGTCGTCATAAGAGTAAGAGACCAGCCTGGATGGCTGATTGTGAAATTGAATAAAGTCAATATTGTGTACATATGTTTATGGATGAATTTTGTTTTGTAATTGTAATTGTTTATATCATGCGGGACGCATGTAGATTGAGGCGTGGGTTATGTAATGTTTATTGGTCGTTATGGTTACAAACAAGAAGAACCTTGTTGTATCAATACATGTTTCACGCAGAAGGAAGCGTTGTGTCGATTTAAACGTTTGGCGGGAAAATTAGTGGCCGGGTCGAAAGTTATAGGGGTGACCGTAAGGGACTCTCTATGCTCCGTAAGGGTAATATATAGAGAACATCCCTATCAAGGAAATAGTGGTATCGACCACGAGTATATAAGAGAATGAGAAACAGCACTTGAGGCTGTCGGTTGGCTGTCGATGAGCTGTCATCCTTCAACAGAGCGTACGTCGATATGTTAAGTGCTAGAAGAGCCTTGATATTCAGAGGACACTTTGTCCGTTGTTACTTTATATCGGCAAAGAGTCAGTGTGTATATTTTAGTTCATTATGCATAATATAGATAGTTGTAGTTTTTAGTATTGCCGTATTGTTTGTGGACAACTTGGATCCAAGAAATTACTGGAACGGACGTTTGGGATATAAACGCCTGGTTACACGTTACACTAGCAATGATTTCCCTAAAACAAGTATATAAACAAAGATATTGATTAAAGCAAGTATAACAAGCATTCTGAGAGTATTGCATGGCAATACAATTAAGTCCCCTACTGGCTAAAAATTAATTGTACTGGAACAAAATGCTAACTTTATATATAACTTGTCATGGTGTAAACTATACAACAAATATCAAGTCAATATCTTCAAGCATGACGGAAAAAGTGCGGAAAACTGATAATTTAAGTGAATTTTCTAAGTCCAAGGACCATAACTCTGCCAAAAATCATCAAACCGAAACGAAATTCAAACTTGGTCTGTAACTTGTCATGATAAAACTATATACCAATTATCAAATCAATATCTTCAACCATGACAAAAAAAAGTGCATGAAAAATGATTATTTGAGTGAATTTTCTAAGTCCAAGGACCATAACTCTGCAAAAAATCATCAGACCGGAACAAATTTGAACTTGATCTGTAACTTGTCATGTTAAACAATGTACCAATTATTAAATCAATATCTTCAAGAATGACGAAAAAAAGTGCGGAAAACTGAATATTTGAGTGAATTTTTTAAGTCCAAGGACTATAACTCTGCACAAAATTATCAGACCGGAACAAAATTCGAACTTGATCTGTAACTTGTTATGATAAAACAATATACCAAATATCAAATCAATATCTTCAAGCATGAAGAAAAAAAGTGTGGAAAACTGATTTGCTGGACTGACAGGACAGACAGACAGACAGACGGACGGAGTGCAAACCTAAAGTCCCCTTTGACTTTGTCGGTAGGGGACTAAAAATGGACTTATGCAGGTACACCTTGTAGAGAACTGTGCTCAACTTAATTGACTCAGCACAAGAAACAGTATTGCTTTGAAAGTTGTTTCCATTTGGGATATGTACAAAATGGCACATCACTTTTATTCTGTAATTTTACTTATTTGATATTGTTGCACTTTCAAAATTTCATAGTACATTGTAGTACACAGGCCTACAGAAGGGGTCATCAACCTTAATCACCATAAGACAATGTAAGAGAGGGTCTAATGGGTGTACCTTCAATAGGAATAACGGTAAAAAATCCCGCCAAATGATGTTAACGGTAATTTTTGGTGCATGACGATAACATGTACACAATCTTTAAGACGATAAAAAAAGTCAACAGATTTTGACGAATCAAGTTAAATTTTTTCCAAAAACAACGGTAGCGATAATTATTTGAGACCTTTGAAGAATCACTATAAGGATATTTTGAGGAATCACGGTAAAATTTTAACCAATTTGACGCTAACGGTAGTCGAAAATGACCGTTTGACACCCGATGGTAAAGGGCATTCCTACCCTCATAAGAACTAAGAGAAACAGCACAAGATTAAGAGTAAACCTATCACATGGGTTCTTAATTGATAGATGTTTTCGGGTTGGACATATGAGTCAATTGACAGGTATGCTTTCAAGGACCGGCTTATGCACAGTCTAAAATCTGAATGTAGGACAGAAAGTCACAGGACAAAAAGTCACAAAAATTCACGGACAAAAAGTCGCAGGACAAAAAGTCACAATTCAGTTTTGAGATTATTTTTCTTTAAACAAGAAAACACTAATTTAAAATTTAAAAAAAGTTTTGTTTTTTCTTGAACTATTATATACGAAGCAACTTTGTAATTAACATTTCTTCAATAAATATCAATAATGATCAAATAATTGTTATGAAAACAAAATGTCAAAGTGGCTTGGTACTTAAATGGCTTCATAATGTGCCAAGAAATATATCCTTTGCGTAATTAAAATTTAATAATTTTTCATTTATCAAGGCTTATGAACAATTTCCTAAACTTAAAAATGAATATATGTAATAAATTATAAAAAGAAAATATTTCAAGATCTTTCTCTTATATATTCAAACAATTGTCAACAAATTATATGTGTCGTTTTGTCCTATCAAATTTGTGACTTTATGTCCTGTGACTTTCTGTCCGTTTACCTAAAATCTGTGCCAAAAATTTATAGAAATGTTTACCCTTCTGTGGACGCTGTGACTATGGCCACTTTTCCCTTTAGTTTCTGTGCTCTGGCAGCTGTAGTTGACATCCTTACTGCAAACTGTCTAGATAACCTGCTTAACATTCTGTATAGGTTAATAAGTAGGACTTTGTTATCAGTTTAAAGTACAAAATTTACATTCAACAAGCAAAAAGAAAGGAGGGGAAGCCCTGTTGCTTTTCGGAATACTTTGGGAGTTATCTAAACATCAGAAATGCCCTAAACGAATTCTTTCGACATTCTCTGGTTTTATCTTTCAAATTTCGATAACCGGATTTGTACGTTTTTAATTGGCTTATATTTATAAATTTGACGTTATATTTAGCCATGTCCGCTATGTTTATTGAAAATGTATTGTTCAAAAGGTGCCTAGTCAGTATTTTATGTACATTTGGTAGGAAGGCATCAAAACTGGTGAAGAGAGAAGACAACAGAAAGAATATTTCTAAACGTAAACAAATAATATAGGTGTTTGTATCTTTTTAAAGTTACAGCAAACACGTGGTTAAAAAAATATTACTTGTTACATAAAAAAAACCATTGCATTTAATTGTTACACATTGTTGATTGTAAACAATGCAAATTAATTTAAAGGTAAACTTATTTTTGGTCTTTCATTTAATCCATAGACATGTACTTCTCTGTTAGTGTTAATATTTTGAGCCATCAGATCATATGATCGACAGGAACAACCTCATCTAAGAATTATGAAATAAACTCATAATATATACCAGGATTAAAACTTTGTACACCAGTTGGTCTACCAAAAGACTCAACAGTGACGCTCAAATAAAAAGAGGTAACAAAGCTGAGTAAAAAAAAATACTAACCAAGAGAACATACATTAATATTGATTATGATAAGACAACATTGCTTTAATATAACATTCAATTGTATCCTCATGTTTATGATAGATGTCTTTATTAAACCATAGATGTATAAACCCATACATCTATGATTAAACATATAAGTAAAATTTCATGAACAATGAAAATCTCATTTGTGTGTTCTTTACAAAATACTGCCTTTATTAATACAAACCTTCAGAGAGCACTTTTTGAAGGCCTTGCAAAAATATGTGCAGTAGATTACTATTGTTTTAGTCCATGAGATAAAAGGTTGAACTCAAATTAAAAACAGTTTGCAAACCAGAAAAAAATGGCAAAGGCATCTTTTGGCATCTTAAAAACTTAAGAAGTTGAAGTGTAATAAAAAACTTACTTGTACAAGTAAACTTTTGTAAAGGATACCAGAGAATATTCAACTTTTGAAAGGTCAATACTTAAATCTGACAAATTTACTTATACATCTTATTAATTTACATCTTTAAGTACATGTATATATGAAAGACACTAGTATAAGTATTAGCCCCAACTGTTTTAGTTCTCTAGAATTGAAAAATTCTAAAACTTAATAATATCTGTCAAATAATATTTTATGGATTTGTCAGATGTTAGTATTTACAGAGACATATAATTTATTTTGATTATATTTGTCATTAATGAAAAACAATTTCTACAATTATTGCACTTTATTTTCAAGGTATTATGTCAGCATTGCCAAAGAAAAATGGACACCATCAGAAGTTCACAGTAAGTTAAATGTACAAAAACAAGCAGATTGCACAGAGTAAAAAGCATTATTGCACATGTTGCAGTTTATTACATTAGTTGGAATGCTGTGATTTCCCACTATATTTCACATGAGAAATTAATCTGGTATTTTCATTCTGGCATCTGGCAACAGCAGCTTTTATCAAGATGTTGTCAAAAAAGTTTTTATACGACCGCAAAAAATTTTTGGGGTCGTATATTGGTATGACGTTGGCGTCGTCATTGCCGTCGTTGTCCGAAGACACATTGGTTTTCGCACTCTAACTTTAGTTTAAGCTAATGGATCTCTATGAAATTTTACCTTAAGGTTCAATACCACAAAAGGAAGGTTGGGATTGATTTTGGGGGTTATGGTACCAACAGTTAAGGAATTAGGGGCCAAAAATAAGCATTATTGAATTTCCAGACATAACTTGTGTGTTAGTGTATGGATCTCTCTGACATTGTCCCACACGGTTTCATATCACAAAGGGAATGCTGGGATTGATTTGGGGGGTAATTGCCTCAAAATTTTAGGAATTAGGGGCCAAAAAGGGACAAAAAACAAGCATTTTTCTAGTTTCAGGACAATAACTTGTGTATAAGTGTATGGATCTTTATGAAATTGTACTACAAGGTTCCATATCACAAAGGGAAGCTCGAATTGAGTTTGGGGGGTAATTGCCTCAAAATTTTAGGAATTAGGGGCCAAAAAGGGACAAAAAACAAGCATTTTTCTAGTTTCAGGACAATAACTTGAGTGTAAGTGTATGGATCTTTATGAAATTGTACTACAAGGTTCCATATCACAAAGGGAAGCTCGAATTGAGTTTGAGGGTAATTGCCCAAAATTTTTAGGAATAAGGGGCCAAAACGGGACCAAAAATAAGCATTTTTCTAGTTTCCAGACAATAACTTGTGTTCAAGTGTATGAATCTCTCTGAAATTGTACTGCAAGGTACCAGACCACAAAGGGAAGGCTGGGATTGATTTTGGGGGTAATTGCCTCAAAATTTTAGGAATTAGGGCCAAAAAGGGGCAAAAAACAAGCATTTTTCTAGTTTCAGGACAATAACTTGTGTTTCAGTGTATAGATCTTTATGAAATTGTACTACAAGGTTTCATATCACAAAGGGAAAGCTGGGTGTGAGTTTGGGGGTAATTTCACTAAGCGTTTAGGAATTTGGGGACAAAAAACAAGCATTTTTCTAGTTTCCAGACAGTAACTTGTGTTCAAGTGTATGGATCTCTCTGAAATTGTACTGCAAGGTACCATACCACAAAGGGAAGGCTGGGATTGAGTTTGGGGGTGATGAATCATAAGGGGGTTCAAAAAATTTTTGGGGGGGGGATTTTTGTCCCCCCTTTTTTTCCTTTTTTTTTTCTTTAAAATTTTCCATTTTAAGTTGGTTATTTCTGATTTATATGTAAAAGCAAATAATAATGATATGGTTTGAATAGGTAAATTAAAATTTTTTAAGTTCTTAGACCACATTCATTCTGTGTCAGAAACCTATGCTGTGTCAAATATTTAATAACAATCCAAATTCAGAGCTGTTTCAAGCTTGAATGTTGTGTCCAAACTTGCCCCAACTGTTCAGGGTTCGACCTCTGCGGTCGTATCAAGCTGCGCCCAGGGGAGCATTTTATTTGCATTTAAAATTGCTTCAATATCTCTTTTATTTACTTTAAAAAAAAATAATGTATTTAAAGAAATAACAAATTCAAGATTTCAAATATAAAAAATATTCAACTTAAATAATGACCTAACAACACATCAATTTACACATCAATTTCTTTACTGGTGGTTCAGTTTTTGTACTTCTTCTTTATTTATATGTAAAGTAAATGTTGTATAAAGAATTACTATAAGGTCATAATACACGTGACATGAATAACGATACATGTACAAAAAATCACCGAAAATTAACAAACAAGAGTTGGTATAATTTTGACAATTTTCTGAATGTTGTACTTTCATGAATACAACATAGGAATCAAACAAAAAGGCAATGTTTTATTGATAATGAACACAACATGTAAATTGAAGATTTTTTAGGTGGAGACAACTCTTTCAAAGGATAACATACACATTTTTATAGACATAGCATTTTAAACCTCTTGTACATTTTTGTATGTAGCATTATACAATTATATTTGTATTATAACATAATGCTATAGTCATGATAGTATATTTTTATTGTGATATCATAAAAATATTTATGTATTTTAATATTAACTTATTTCTGTATTATAAAAATACACTATGTTTTACAGATATGTGTAGAAGGGAACATAGCCAGTGGTAAAACATCTTTTTTAGAATATTTTAAAGACACACATAATGTTGAGGTAGGTGAAAAAAATGTTTCTAAATCTAAAAAGCTATGGTTTCATCATGTTCATGTGGATGCTTTCTATTTTTCTATTACATGTTAAACAATGGATCCAAAATTCTGACAGGTGAAAGTTGCTCTATAAATTGTATATATTATAATTGAACAACATTTCTGCAGGGTACATAACATACATGTAGGTGGAAACAAGCTTTCATTTAAAATGATTTCTGAATACAAGTTTAACATCAAATCAATGTATGGATTTAATAATGCAAAATATTTTCTGTAGATTTCAAACAATTATTAACAGAATGAAATACTTAGAAAGAAAATACCATTTTAAAATGCAAATTAGCTTATCATGTCAAAAATGGCAAAGATGCATATTATGCTTTTTATTTTATTGAAAGTAAGTTCCTTCCGATTCCCCTTTAAACTACTTCTTTTATCAAGCAAAATTTTGATAAATATTTGTAGGTGATAGAAGAACCTGTAAACAAATGGAGGAATGTTCAAGGAGGAAATATTTTAGTATGTATAATATTTTAGCATATTGAGCTATAATTAACAGAATCTAGTAAAACAAAAATTAGTTAATGCTGATATGAGTATATTTAGGTTGAGGAAACTTATCAGAAATGCACTACTTTTTAGGTATATTTATAAAGGAAGACGAGTAGAAATATCAGCAAATATTGCATTTTTATTTTACTATTAAAACTACATGAAATGTTTGATACTACTGTTAATATCAGAATTTATTGCGTGAATTTATTATTGGGAATTTTGAAGAATAGAAAAAATGCAAGATTAATTATTGTGACGTCAGGAAAATCTGCATGCAGCTACATGTATATGTATCAGATTGCAGAATTTGAGTTCTTATGATTGCGATACTCATCCATTTGCATTAATAGCATTAATCAATACCTCGCAATAATTTCTGAATTTACAGTATATTATAAAAATGTATATTGAACAGGCGAGGATGTATGAAGATCCAACCAGATGGTCATTAACACTCCAGACATATGTGCAGTTAACAATGTTACAGAATCATGTCAAACCACAGGTTAGTGACCTTTGACATTTCTATATCCTTGACATTGGGGTTAACAAAAATTTACATTTTATTTAAAAAATACTGATATTGCAGAAAAGGGGTTTTACTTGTTTTGTTTTTTGCCTTTTCAAAAAAAAAAATCATTACTTTTAAGAATGTGGAATCTATGCCAGGTTTGACAATCCTATAATTCAATCTTGTAAAGGAATCACAACCTGTTGTTCAACACCTTCAGGTAGAAGATGATCTTTTTAATATGTAAAAAAATTAAAAGTTTTGAGGACCATAGCTAAAAACTATAACTCTATTGAGGAATGCAACAAATAGTCTTATCCTGATTACTATTTTCTGTTCTTTTTTCAGGAAAAAGCAATTAAATTAATGGAGAGGTCAATATATAGTGCAAAGTATTGCTTTGTAGAAAACTTACATAACAGGTAATGGATTGTTTAAGGAAATGAATAAAGTTTTATGTAACCATGGTAACTAAGAAAGATTATTAAGGTTGTATGATTTTTTTGCTATTACAGATGAAATATGATTTAAACAAATATATTATTAAAGTATATGAACTATTATGATACATTATTGATTTGTAAGTCAATTTTAATTCCTAAATTTATTATCACTCCTGTCTGTCTGCCTGTTATTTGTTTTTAAGCTTTATGTGAGCATGCTGTGTTGTATATTCACATTCATCCTGTTTCTAAAATTCTTGCATATTCGTACACATAGCATGCATAAGAACCTTTATGAAATTTTCGTCTCATTTTTCTCAGAAACTAGGAATTAGAACTTTCTGAAATTTGGTATCAAGCTTCATGTGACCATACTTTACTATGTGGTACATTTTGTACATCTCATCAACTTTCTCTGTACTGAATTCTTACACACAATTACCATTTATGAAACAGGAAATGTAGATCAGAGCACCCTAAAATATGATATCAGTATGCATGTGAACATGCTTTTATATGTGATGCATTTTCACTTCTGTTGCTCATAAACTTCCTGTTAATCGAATATTTGAAGCAGGGGTATCATTAGTGACTAAGTTTGAGCTCAGAGTTAAGTTTGAGTGTTTATGTTTTATATTGTATAATGAAAGCTAAATGTTTTTTCCTACTAGTTATTATTTGTATACTTTTCCTCATTTTAACAAAAGATTCGAAAATTCCTTGTTAATTCTCTGTTAATTCATTCATTGATGTTTAAATTACATTTATTATATTACATATTTTATTTGCTCTATTTTTTAGCGGTAAAATGCCTGATTTAGAGTTTGTAGTATTAAGTGAATGGTTTGATTGGATAATAGATTTTCACAAGTGTCCATTAGATCTGATTGTTTACCTACAAACAACTCCAGAAATTGTTTACGACAGAATTAAGAAACGAAAAAGAAAAGAAGAACAAACTATCCCATTAGTAAGTAATAATTTGACACTAAGATTTAGTAGTTTTAAACAATTATATTCACCCATTTACTTTCAATTTTGATATAACTTTAGGCAATATATATATATATATCCTCGTGCTTTGGGCTTTTTTGGTCCAAAATTTAGAGGACTGCATAAAATATCAAAGATCTGTCATTATGACTAAATTTTCCAAATAACAAAAAAAAACATTAAACGTGACAAAGACAACCACTAATGAGGTTCCTGAAATTTGACAGGCTTATAAACATGAAGTCATGGTAGTGGGATTAAACAAATGTTTAGAGATTTCAAGCCTCCTTTTCACCTTGCTCAGTGGAATAACAGAGTAACTTAATGTGAATGAAAGAACAGACAATAAAAATCCATTCAGAAAAAGTACTTGATAATAATGGTATAAAATCAACATCGACCAGAGTACAAACAAAACAAGAAACTTTAACATGTCAAAGAATGTTGGCATTTGCTGAAAGCATCAACAACTTAACCTGCTGATGTGAAATTATGAATCCTAATCAAACATATAAAATCTGCTGATAAATTGATTACCATTTAATATAAATCTGTGTATGATAGTTGTTATGATTTTTTATAGGAATACTTACAAACGTTACATAATCTTCATGAAGATTGGTTAATACATCAGAGAAAATTTCCTGTTCCATGTAAAGTATTAGTATGTATCACTTGTTTTAATTATATATCATGTAAATAGCATGTAGGGTAAATTATATGCTTTTGATCACTAATTACCCCAAACTACTATTAGTTTTTAACCCCTCCTCTAGTCATCTAGGTTTCTGAATACTTAAATCAGATTGCAACCTTACTAGGATATCTGGTCGCACATTTTTAGAGAAAAATTCTTATTGTTCTTAAGGTCACTATGTCTAAGGTCATGGCCAAAGTTACTTAACATAAACCAGCATCAGTGAAGGAAAGGAATTTCTGGAGAATATTACAACCTTACATTTGAATGGAGCTAAATTAAGATATATATACAAGGCCACATTTAATGATCAGGATATCCCTTTTTGTTTTCAGATCCTTTTGGTTAAGGTGAAGGTCATTACTAGAAATGATCATGATGATAAATTAAATACTTGAATTCAGATTGCAAACTTACTTGGTTATATGGTCACATATCATGAGAGGAACATCCCTTCTGATTTTGAGGTCAATAGGTCTATGCATGGTAAAGGTCATAGTTACAGAAGAAAAACTAAAGGTATCACAAAAGTAGTTATAATGGGATTGAAAACAAAATTAAGTATATTGTCACATATAATGACTTGAATATCCTTATAGTTTTTAGATTCATTTATCAAAGGTCCAGGTCATCGTTATACAAATTTATATTCTTCAAAAACCTTACCAACCAAGCCTTGTTACAGCAGGAGTTTTAAATTACCTGCCATTCCTTTCCCCCCTACCCACAATGCCTTGTTACAGCAGGAGTCTAAATTACCTGCCATTCCTTTCCCCCTTACCCAAAATGCCTTGTTACAGCAGGAGTCTAAATTATCTACCATTCCTTTCCCCCTTACCCACAATGCCTTCTTACAGCAGGAGTCTAAATTACCTGCCGATTCTTTCTCAGTTCCTTATTTTGAATATCAATGAAAGATATTCAACTGATGCATCATATTTTTATGCCCCACTTATTATGCCCCCAATTTCACGGTCCACTGAACATAGAAAATGATAGTGCGAGTGGGGCATCCGTGTACTATGGACACATTCTTGTTTAGATTTAATTTTCCTATATTTACTCAGCAATACTGTATTTTAAAATTTTTTAATAGTGATAATAACCAACTGTGATTGTTGGCTTAAATTTTGATTACAGACTGGTTTTACAATTATACTTCATAGATATAAGCAGATGTGGTATGAGTGCCAATGAGACAACTCTCCATCCAAGTCACAATGTATAAAAGTAAACCATTATAGGTCAAAGTACGGTCTTCAACACAGAGCCTTGGCTCACACCACAGAAAGCTATTAAGGGCCCAAAAATTACTAGTGTAAAACCATTCAAACGGGGAAAACCAACAGTCTAATCTATATAAAAAACAAGAAACGAGAAACACTTATGAACCACATCAACAAACGACAACTACTGAACATCAGATTCCTGACTTAGGACAGGTGCAAACAATTGCAGCGGGTTTAAAAGTTTTAATGGTACTAAACCTTCACCCTTATCTGAAACAATAGTGTAACATCACAACATAGAAAGACTCACTATAAAATATCAATTGAAATGGCTTGACTCAATCAAAAGACATATTAACGCAAGTGAACATACACTGAACGAATAAATTTGATCTATGATCAATGTAAATACAAAATCAATAAAATAAGGGATGAATAATTAAATTAACAGTATTATACCGCTGTGAAATGTTAAACAATTTCAGAAAAACAACAATAACCTTAAACAAAAATCTGCCATTTACAATAATATTATACACAGGTAAATGAAAATAATTTCAGTCTGTTCTAGCAATTGTCAACACAAGTACACTTCTCACTAAGGTCTGCATCTTTAATTATTATTTTGGATGCACAAAGTTTACCTGAAATTCATGTGCTAAGTATATAGTCTGACATGCCTCAAGTTTTGTTATCCTTTTAATTTTCATGGACTCAGTATACCCCCTTTATAGAATAGCAACATACTATCCCATGAAAAACATAAACAAAAGGTAACTTGTTATATTACTAGGTTATTGAACTATTAAAAAAAATGGGGACATTAAATGCAGGTATACTTTTGTCATAAAGGAGAGGTGAAGGATACCAAAGGGACATAAGTTGCTATATAATTAGTAATGTTACCCACCAGAGATCACTTAATATTCTTCTGACTATGCTGTTTCCATTAGTCCTTCAAAAGTTCTTTTATTAGAAGGCAAAACTGTTCTGAGACAAAAAAATGATGTTACCTTTTACATAAAAACTGATAAAAAATATTAATGTTACTGTTTAAGATATTGTAGCAGTGTTGTACTGCATGGAATGATTAAGAACAAGGCAAAACTCATTTATTCATAATTTTTTTCAGACATTAGATGCTAATTATGAATTAGACTACATGCACAAAGTATTTGAAGAAAATAGAAAGAAAATTATGTGCGACAGTGGATGAATCAGAAACGAAAAATGTTATCACTGCCAAATGATATAAACTAAGCGTAAAGAAAGACTTACAGCTTCAAGTTGGGATACATGATTGTGATGTTCTGTTTTTCAGCAGCATAGAAGAAAATGCTAGTGATCATGATGATTTATAGATCAATTGCTCTGTAGACAGATCTTGCAATATATCTGATATGTTTGTTCTTTTATCATGTTTATGGGCCAACTGCTAGATGTTGTGCTTTTGGTGTATTATGATGGCTTTTTAATGCAATTTGAATGTTTAATAAAGAAGAATAGATAAACTTCATAGAGATTGAGTGACATTTTTGAAATCTGAAAAGACATTTATTGTTGAAATGTCCATCTGGTGTAGAACAATTGGTACTGTTACTGTTATAATTTGATTTATATTTTATATTTTCCTGGAAATTAGTTCAAATAAATTATTAGCTCTAATAGAAATGTCTTGCCATTTGAAAATGAGTTTAAGGTAATGTTACTTTTTTCTTTCTTTTGTTATTCAGGCGGAATTAATTTGTTGGCAGATGAAATGAAACTTTGACAAATGTAGGGGCAATCTTATTGCATGAATTTAAGGGAAAGGAGATGAATTTCATCTATTAACTTATTAATCATTTTTATAGTCACTTTGAAATAAGGTTAAAAACCACCTATATATATATATATATATTTTTTAATGCACACATTATCACCCAGCTTATATGAAAACATCAGAAAAATGCACAAAACTAGAAAATTGAAAAATTAATCAATAACATGTTTTGCTTAATAAATTTGATGAAAAATTTAACTTGAAATATTACTGTTTTCATATTTATCAACAAAGCCTTCCTTTTACCATGCTTGTATGAACAAAAAATTTGGAAAAAAAAAATGTTTTTAAGATTTGAAAATAAATTTTTCTAGCATATTTTCAAAATTCCTTAATATTCAGTTTTATTTTTATTAATAACCAAAATAGAAACCTTTGGTTTTTTATGTAAGATTGTGTGTTTTTTATGCCCCCGCCATAGCAGATGGGGCATTAAGTTTTACCATTGTCCGTCTGTACGTACGTCCAAAAATTGGTTTCCGTTCTCTAACTTGAGTTTGCCTCAACCAAATGTTATGAAATTTATACACAATGCTTATTACCACAAAACACAGATAAAGTTTGAAATTTGGTGGCATCACTTTAACTGTTCTAGAGTTATGCCCCTTTTTAAATGGAAAAATTGCAAAATTTTTAGTTTTCTCTAACTTAAGTTTGCCTCAACCAAATGTTATGAAACTTATACACAATGCTTATTACCACAAAATACAGATCAAGATTGAATTTTGGTAGCGTCACTCTAACCGTTCTAGAGTTATGCCCCTTCATAAATGGAAAAATTGCAAAATGTTTAGTTTCCGTTCTCTAACTTAAGTTTGCCTCAACCAAATTTTATGAAACATATACACAATGCTTATAACCACAAAATAAAGATCAAGTTTGAATTTTGGTGGGGTCACTTTAACCATTCTCCAGTTATGCCCCTTTATAAATGGAAAAAATGCAAAATTTTTAGTTTCCGTTTTCTAACTTAAGTTGCCTCAACCAAATTTTATGAAACTTATACACAATGTTTTTTACCACAAATCACAGATCAAGTTGAATTTTGGTAGCATCATTTTAATCATTTTCGAGTTATGCCCCTTTATAAATCAAAAAATTGCAAAATTTTTAGTTTCCGTTCTGTAACTTAAGTTTGCCCCAACCAAACATTATGAAACCTATACACAATACTTATTACCTTAAAACTCAGATCAAGTACAAATTTGGGTAGCATCACTTTTATCGTTCTTGAGTTATGTCCCTTTATAATGTTATATGCAAGCCGGGGCATCATCTGTGTCCATGGGGACACATTCTCCATTTATTAGTACCGGTAAATCGTTTCCACTCTACAATGTTTCCAAAACCATCAAAATCACACTAGAATATGTACAATTAGTCTCCACTAAGACATTACATTGGTTTTAAGTCTTGATTTCTTTATTATCGTGACTTAACAAAAGTGTTCAATATTTTCAATATTATACCTCATTTATTGTAACAAGGAATTTTATTAGTTGTTAAAATTTATTTATATTCAAATGTATGGAAATAAAAAATGGATAAAAAATATGAGTTGATAAAACCATTTAAAGCCAATTCTTCTAAGGGAGAATAAAAATCTGACATGCCATCTGCTGCATTTTAATGAATAGGGAAGGATGTGGTATATATGTCAATGAGACGATACAAAACATCACAAAAGTAGGCAAAAATAGAAATTTGAGTTATCAAAACTACTAGCAACTTTTATTGAGTACTCAACCCTACCGTTAATGTCTCGATCACTGAAGGAACAAATGATTCAGTAGAATCCAGTTTCATATTCTGTGGCTGTGGTGCAGGGGGTAGAAAAAGTACAAATAATTAAATTCTGAATTGAAAGGATGTAGGGTTTATGATAACAGAATATGTGTCTGAATGATTGTCTTTGATTGATTGATTGATTGGTGTTTACTCTACTCTTCCTCAGCACAAAAAGACTTGTCTTTGAAGTGGAGTTGGTGTTATATGCAAGAACAATACTATCTTTATGCATGACATTTCTGAAGGAGTAGAACTTTGTAAATTCACTGTTGCATGGTAAACAAGTTTATAGTTGTTTACTTTTTAACTGGATTTTGGAGGAAAAATTGGTTATTGATTTGGGGATGTACAGCGCGCGGGCGGGCAGCTGCCAACAGTATCCGTTCATTAACATGCAAACGCTTTGACAAAATTTTTTCAAATTTAGATATGTTGTTTCCTGTGACTAAATGAACGTCAAGTTCAATTTTCACAATTTTAGCTTTTTTATGTGTTGTGTGAGTCGACCTTTTAGTAGCCAATAGTTATACTTATTATGATTGAGTTATTTCCCTTTGAACTGAAATTGTGATTTGCAAATATCATTTTCATTAGATAGTAATCTATTTTAATTAAAGGATATATTTCATTACATTACATTGTGTAGATAAAATTGTTGACATTGATAGATAAGTTGCAGATCTGTATTAGTTTGTGACAAATGAAAGAAAAAATATTGGGAACTATTAATTATATATAAAGTTTGATTACACTAAGTGTTTTTAAATAATTTTCACCTGTTACCAGATAACAAAGCATCTGGTAAATATCTTCTCGCACAATTATAATTGGAGTGACAGATTTATTTGAAAATTTTCTGTTTCCTAAGTGTTGATGTTGATAAGATCTGTAGGACAGTATAAATAAAGATTGAAATTTACTGTTCATTATTAGACATTTTGAAGATAATGACAGATAAGTTTTATAGATTTTTAACCGGATTTTCGAAGGAAATAGAGGTTATTAAAATGGGGATGTACGGCAGGTGGCTGCCAAATAGTGTCAGCACAATAACATGAAAACGCTTTAACAAATTTTTTTTCAAATTTAAATATGTTGCTTCCTGCGACTTAATGAAGGTCTAGTTCAATTTTCACAATTTTAGTGTATCTCCTTTTTGAGTTGTCGCCATTTTTAATATCCAAAAGTGGAATTTGAAAATATTTTTCTCTTGTTATCATTTTATGACTCAGCATAATGTCTTATCTCACAATAAAAATTGGAGTGACAGATTTATTTGAAAATTTTCTATTTCCTAAGTGGTGAAGATTATAAGCTATATTATTAGACATTTTGAAGTTAATTACATTATTAATTAGTCCCCTACCGACGAAGTTGAAGGGGACTTTAGGTTTGCACTCCGTCCATCTGTCTGTCAGTCTGGCAAATCAGCTTTCCACACTTTTTTTCTTCACTCTTGAAGATATTTTTTTGATATTTGGTATATAGTTTTATCATGACAAGTTATAGATCAAGTTCGAATTTTGTTCCGGTCTGATGATTTTGTGCAGAGTTATGGACCATAACTCTGGACCATATCTAATGTTAGAGTACTATGTTAAACCATATTTCTGTACAAAGGAAGATAACTCATTTTTTAAAAGACATTCTTTGTTAATTTTTTTGCAGGTTTGTTTGTTATTTAGTATAAACTAATTTTCTGAATGCTATATATATAAAAAAAATTATGAAGAGAAATCTTTTAATTTGATAATAATCTATTTTTATTAATGTATATATTTCAATACATTACATTGTGTAGATAAAAGTTGTTGACATTTTATAGATAAGTTACCAATCTATATTAGTTTGTGACAAATGGAAGAAAAATATTTGGAACTATTAATTATATTTGATTATAATTTGAAAATAGATATACACTGTATTACATCAAATCTAATTTTAGAGAACTATTAATCATATCTAATGTTTTTTTCATCATGCTTATTAGATATTGATTGATAATTGGTATATAGTTTTATCATGACAAGTTACAGATCAAGTTCAAATTTTTGTTTCAGTCTAATAATTTTGTGCAGAGTTATGGTCCTTGGACTTGAAAAATTCACTCATATAATCAGTTTTCCACACTGTTTTTAGTCATGCTTGAAGATATTGACATGATATTTACTTTTTGTTTACACTATGACAAGTTATAGAACAAGTTAGCATTTTGTTCCAGTATAATGAATTTTTACCCAGTAGGGGAATATGTATTGCCATGCAATACTCTCAGAATGCTTGTTATTAATTAGATCTGGGTTATATCTTAGCATATGATAATCATTGGAGTGACAGATTTATTTGAATATTTTAATGCTGTTTAATGATAAGATCTTTAGGAATGTTTATATAAAGTTTTAAATTTACTAGTAGGACTGTATAAATGAAGTTTGAAATTTACTGTTCATTATTAGACATTTTGTAGATAATTAAGTCTCCTTAAACCATATATATTCTTACCCCCACCCCCTTCAATTTGAGAATGTGCTTTTTTTCTTGTAAACAGTTGAGATCCCTACCCCTTAACCATATATATTCTTGTATTGGACAATAAAACAAATCAAATGAAATATTGGGGGAGTCCCCAGGTACACCCCCACCCCCCTTCTTTTTATACGACCGCTAAAAAATTTTTGTGTTCGTATATTGGTATGACGTTGGCGTCTTTGTCATTGTCGGAAGACACATTGGTTTTCGCACTCTAACTTTAGTTTGAGTGAATGGATCTCTATGAAATTTTACCATAAGGTTCGATACCACAAAAGGAAGGTTGGGATTGATTTTGGGGGTTATGGTACCAACAGTTAAGGAATAAGGGGCCCAAAAGGGGCCAAAAATTAGCATTTTTGTAACTTCCGGACATAACTT